TCAAGGTGACGCCAGTCTTTGAATTAGAAGAAATTTGCGAGCTTTTGCGATCTTCGCATATTACTATTGTGACAGAGGTCTTAGAGTTTATTTTGAAACTGCCTGAGTATAAAAGCCTCGTCGTCAGGTAGAAGATATTCCATTCAAGTTGCTTCATATCTCTATCATTTTTGATTTTGGGAAATTTTAAAGGAGTTTGGTTGTTGATTTCCTGTTCACATTGACTATGAATGCTGTGGTTGAAATTAAAAATTTAATAACCAATGAGTAGTTAAATAATTAAAAATTTGAGATTTTAAGTTGAAAATTTTAAATCTAAATTTGAGTATTGAGTTAGATGAAAAAGAATTTAAGAAAAGAAAATGATTATCTACTATCATATAACCTATTATTATCAAATGTACAAAAAAAAAAAAAGCCTAATAAAGAAAAAAGTCAATATATTTTTTTTCTGGCCTCCAAAACAAAATTTCATTGAAATTATAAAGGTCTGTAGCAAATCTCCTAGTCATAGAAACACGACTACAAAACAGTATAGAGTAAAACACTGCAAAAATCAAATAATACAGAAACCAAAAGTAGAGCACTAATCCCTCGGTGAAGCTGGGAACCCATCCTTATTCAAAATCTGCGCAAGACCCAATGGGGGGTGGTTGATCCAGTTGCACGGACATGCTAACATTCTGCTTTGCCCAGCAACCCAATCTGCAGCTTCATTTATCCTTTTAGGCACCAAAGAGAACTTCCAAGAAGGGAAGGAGCTCTTCATAATCTTCAACTCCTCTGCAATCGAAAGTTGCTGACCAGTGAACTCTTGTATCTGCTCGCTTAATACACTTCAAGAGGGGGTTGAATTGAAGTTTCAAGATTTTCCTCCTTTTCGCAACCACAAAATAAAAATTAAAGAGAGAAAAGATGAGAAATTTGCACAAAGATTTTATAGAGGTTCAATCTAACCACTAGGCACTTAATCCTCTGCTTTACCTTCACTCACTAAGGATTTTTTACACAGTCTCCACAAACAAGGGTGGCTTAAAGGAGCCACTTAATCTTTTTACAAAAATGAGTTTTCTCACAAATCACACACATTTACAAAGCAAACCCAATAATTTTCACTACAAATCACTCTTAAAGGAAATACTAGCACTCCCAAGATATCTCCAAAAGAATGTCTCAAAGAAAGCAAAGCAAGTAGAGGATTACAAATAAAGATTACTCAAAGATCAATTTCACAAGTCAAAGCACAAGAATTTAAAGTTGGTAGGTGCAAGATATTCAATGAAGGTGTTTAAGAAGCTCTTTATTACTCCCACCAACCCTATTTACCTTCCTTTAGTTGAAATTAGCCATTTGGGATCATTGGAATGCATTAAATGTTGAGCAGGCACATCAAATTTGAAAAACTAGCCACTATTGTACAGTCAAGAGTCAAATTTGCAACCTAAGAGTGGAATCTATAAAGCCTAGATTCGACCCTTCAAACTAAGAGTTGATTTTCAAAGAAATTTTCAGACTAAGCCAATTTTTTGCCCTCCAGGCCAAGTGTCATATCTTGGAAGTCAAAGTTGAATATTGACCTCTAAGAGTTGATTCTCCAAATGGAGAGTCGAATATATGCCTTGCGCGTCAGAGAATAAGGAGTTGATTCTTCATCTCTAGGAGTTGAATTTGGAAGGTCCAAGAGTCAAATATGAACTTGGACATTTGACTCTTCACTGGATTGATCCTTTTCTTCAAAAATTACTCCAGAGTTGAATTTGGAGGCAAGAGTCAAATCTTCTTGCTTCAAGAGTCGAATATAGAGTCTTCAACCCAATTCTACAGTTTTTCTAAATTTCCTTGATGCATATTGGGATTGCTTTAATTGCACACTTGAACTCAGATTCATTAAACACCTTAAGGAGTTTTGTTATCATCAAAATCACTTGGAGTTCAACAGTATCATATTGCATAAAGTTGAACCAATCTTTGGAATCAAACTCAAACACAAGTAAATTGTAATTCATCTACACAGCTAGTTGCATTCCTTTTAATAAGGTAGCTGCCTCCATCATGAGGGCTGAATTAGCATATGCTATTCCATTATCACCACATATTAGCATACATTCACTATCTCTAACCACAACCCCAAAACCTCTTCTCAAGCAACTTAATTGATCCATCACAATTAATTTTCACATACCCCTGCCTTGGTCACTCCCAGATCTTATTATTCGTGGAATTCATCTGTTTCACTTCTCTTTTTTTACAGTTCTCTCTCCATTCAATAACCAAACCAAAAACCTTTTCAATAGTTCTTGCACCATTAATCCCCTTTCTCTCATAAGCTACTTCACATCTAAATTTTTAGATCCCCCAACATGTATATGCACAAACAGTAGCAATGAAGCTTCTCCCCTCAGTGGATAAAGATTTATCCCCACAAACAATCAAGAACCAGTCATCAATAGTGGACAGACTTTGTCTATCAATTTTGTAGTTCAAAAGTCCTCCAAACCACATACCTTGTATCTAATCACATAAAAAAAAAAAAGGGCAATGCTCCATAGTTTCTTCGTATTGATGGCATATGGGACAGATAGGACTTTGAACCACCTTCTTCTTGAATAAATTGCTCATAATTGGTAGAATATTATAAATAAATCTTCCATAATAAAGAAATAACCTTTGGGACAACAAAAATATTCCACAGAATTTTCCATGCATCAGTTGAGATAATATGTGAGGAAATAGAAACATTTCCATTATTATGCAGAGTTGTTGAGTGTGCCAGATGATATCCAGTTTTAACAAAGTATTCCCCATTCTTACTACAAGGCTATATCATAGTGTCATTTTGTTCACCAGAAGGAATGTGAATGGCTTTAATAGCTTTAGCGATATTAGGAGAGACTTGTCTTGCAATAGGCTCCAAGTTCTAGCATGCAGCTTCTTTATCAATTAGATCAGAAACCAGTAACTGATCATTTCGTGGGGTATAATTGCAACTCTGTACTCTCATACTGTCAATGTCGGGCACCTACTTATGTCTCGTACCATAATTCTTCCCCCATTACCAACATGCTGGGCAATATTTTCTTTTATCAAATTTCTACCAACAATTAAACTACTACATGCCCAGGACGGATGGCAGCCTTTCCTTGCTTCCATAAAAGAAACATCTTTAAAATATATTCCTTTTACAATCCTCACCCAATAAGCATCTAGATTTTGTAATAGTCTCCAACATTGTTTGGCTAAAACAAGGCTACATTATAATCTTCAATGTCTCTGAACCCCAATCCACCTTGAAATTTTCTCCTTATAAGTTTGTCCCAGCTTTGCCAATGAACTTCCTCTCATCTTGAACTTGGCCTCACCAAAATATAGCAATGACTGAGTTAATTTTCCTTACAAGCCTTTTTTTACAAGTCTTTTTTGGGAACTTGAAAATCATCATAGAATATGCAGGCACTGAAGTAGCCACTGATTTGATAAGAAAAACTCTGCCAGCAGGTGATAAGAAATTCTACTTCCGCCCCTTCACTTTACTTACCACTCTTTCAACCAAAAACTTTAGAGCTTCAAATTTAGACCTACCCCAAATAGCAGGTAGACCCAAATCTTTCCCTGGATTATTGTTTTTAGGAATATTGAAGACTAAGCTATTATCACTTCTTAGTCTGCTGTTAGTGTTAGGATTGAATTACAGGGTAGATTTCTCAAAATTCATCAACTAACTAGAAGCTCTACAATATATAGGTCTCAAAAATCTTACAAATTTCCTACAAATTCTCATATTGGCTTACATAAAGAATAAAGAATCATCTACAAAAAAACAAGTGAGTAAGAATAGGGCAGCTTCTCACCAATTTGATACTCTTTATTCTTTTCTAGTTGGCAACTTTCTAAATCATCTTCGAAAGCACATCAGCCACCAACAATAACAAATAAGGAGAAAGAGGATCTCCTTGCCTTATACCTCTACCTAGAATAATAGTTCCCATCTGTTTACCATTGATGATTAATGAGAACTTGACATAAGTAATACACTCCATGATCTAGGAATCCATTTACTACCGAAGCCCATCTTAACCAAAAGAGCCTTCAAAAAATCCCTCTCAATTCTGTCATAGGCCTTGTTCATATTCACATTTAATCCTATCTTCCCCTTCTTTCCTTTCTTCTGTCTTCTCAAATAATGGTATGCATCTTAGGCAACTAGAATGTTATCATGAATCATTCTCTATGGAACAAAAGTAGCTTGATTCTCTAATATTATTCTAGGTAAAACACCTTTTAATCTATTCACCAATATTTTTGCAATGATCTTGTAAACAAAATTAAATAATGTTGGTAAATTTGTTGTTCTTCTTCTATTAGTTTCATGAGAATAACACTATCATCTTTCGAGTTTGAGAGGACACATCTTTACATAGGTTTAGGAATTTTGCATGGCCAATTTGCATTTCAAAGTCTATAGTTAAAAATTCACTTTTTTTTCCCTTTTTTGCTGCATGTCTTTCCTACAAAAGTTGAGTTGTGTAGAATGAAGATTTTGAGTTGAATGATTCCATCATTTTTGGTTTATGATTTGTACCTCTGAAAATTTGTCAATGTGAACTAGTCTTCTACAGGTGAAATTGAAAATATCTTTGGATAATAATTGATATACCATTCAGTTTAACACACTTAAAACACTGTTATTAAGAAATTATTTTTTTCAAATTTGAATTCAAAGCTGGAAAAATTCCGACTGCAAATTTTAACAATTGAACTAGTGAGTGTTGGTGAATGTGTTGAACTGGGTGGTGTATTAATCTTTTTCTAATATTTTTATTTGATTTAACATTTCCTTTGATCGTAACAATTACTGAAACTTTTCTATGATGATCCCATAGGGAGGGAATTCGTTCTTCGCCTAGATATACAATAAACAACAAACCAGTGCCTAATAAGCACTAACATTCATTCGACACTTAACTGAAAATTCCTGTAACTATTACATGTTGTGATGATAGATTAATATTTTATAAGGATAAACGTGTAGGAAAGATTTTACCTGGAATTCAGAGTTTTTAATCATATTATGCTTGTATTCTTGGATTTTGCAGGTTCTGAGTTTAAGACTTTTTCTGCTTTATTCTCAGAGGACAATAAGCCAGCACGCACAAAAGACCTTAATAATCAAATTCAAGGATTTGGGAATACAAACTTTGAAATGCCATTAGAAGATAAAAAAATCATTTCTTAGCGAGGTGGTTGGCCTTGTAAGTGGTTCTTTGAAGCAGGAGCTTAGTAGTTTCACCCAAGACCATTCACTTGGGAAGCTACCTTCTGAAGGCCTTTGATCGTAGAAATTGAGTACTCAGATAGATAAGAACCAGTTGAACTAAAAAGTGATGCTTGGGGTACTTTTGGGATATAAAAAAAATGTAGGCAGTGGACCTTGGGGGTGGGTTTTGAGAGTATTAAACATAGAAACAAGTAATGGGGAATCTGTGTCAAGTTATCCAGAGACCACAGCATTCAACAGTATTAAACATAGAAACAAGTAATGAGGAATCTGCATCAAGTAATTCAAAGACCAAAACTCATGAAGAGAGGCTATTGGAGACCATTGTAACAGCTGGTGGTGCATGCCTACAACCCACCAAAGATGCCATTCAAGCTTTCCTCATGGAGGCTATTTTGTCCAATCAGCAAACCACGTAAGCAATGCATGGTTTCTTTTAGGGAAATGATTTTTGTCCCACCTTCTTGTCCCACCTGATTGTCATTAAAATAATTGGTTTTTTTAATTCATGTGGAACTTGTGATATTGAATGCATTTACTCATTTAATGACATGTAAAAGTTGTATGAAAATGTTGTCCCTATAGCACAACCTTTTCTTTGAAACACATCAACATACGTTAGAACTTTTAGTCAGCCACATCAGCATTGCCATCCACTAAATCCTTAAAATAGAAAACTCGCAAAGTTGATATCTTTATTTAGAAAAAATTGAAAGTTAATAATCTTATTTAGAAATTGAAAGGGTTTTTGTCCTTAAATAAAAAAAAAACCGCAAAGTTGATATTCTTATCTACCTCTTTACTCCAACTTATCATCTTCTCCACTGCAAGTTAGGAAGCTTCCTTCCCTTGGTTTTACTAGGATTCTTTACTTATGTTCAAAAAAAAAACTAGGATTCTTTACTTATGTTAAAAAAAAAAACTAGGATTCTTTACTTATGTTAAAAAAAAAAACTAGGATTCTTTACTTATTTCCCTTAATTATCCACTCGTATCTTCTCATAGGGTAAGTTTTCTATAAATTTAGTTCTTTGTTTTCTTCATCTGTAGTAAACATTGTTTGCTTCTCAAATCTTCTTGTTCTTTAGATTTTTATTTTTAGGTTAGAATCATCGATTATGATTTTATTTCTTTAGCAAAACTAAACATCATCAAATGCATGAAAATATCAAGTTTATGTTTATCCTTCAATTCTCCTTTTTTTGTAAATTCTTTTTGTTTCTTATGTATTTATGTGTGTGTGTTTGTGTGTTTTTTTTTTTTTTTTTGAAAGATCAAGTTGGGTTTAATTTTGACCTCATTTTTTTCCTTGAAGCTGCTCAATATTGTGTTGAATTTCTTAGTTTTAGTAGCATTTTTTTTTTTTTTTTTTTTTTTTTTGTAAATTATGTTTATGATTCTAAGCAAAAGATCATTTGGGTATCTCTATAATTTTTTTCGAATGTTTTGGATTTTGTAGGAAAACTGATTGATGGAGGGTCGGAGTGCAATGTCTGATAATAGGGAGCTAACTTACCCTTCTTGGACCTTCGTCTTAGTTGGACGGACGGGCAATGGAAAAAGTGCAACAGGGAACAGTATCCTTGGACGGAAAGCTTTCATCTCAAGATCTGCCCCCGGAGGGGTTACAAGGTCTTGTCAACTTGAAAGAACCGTCTTAAAAGATGGTCAGATTATTAATGTCATTGACACTCCTGGTATGAACTATTAGATTCGTTTGAGTTGCTAATTCTCAGTACTACAAGCTTGACACTTGCTCCCTCAATTATTGAAATAGAATGATCCTTTGCGCAAGTGATTTGTACATTGTCTATACTTACATCTTGATAATTTATTTTTGCTAACTGGCTTTGGTTAACATGATACCAATTGCAGGTATGTTTGATTTTTCTTCTGGATTGGAATTGATGAAGCAATGTATCGATTACGCTAAGGATGGTATACATGCAATCCTTGTGGTTTTCTCTATTAGGAACCGCTTCTCACAAGAAGAAGAGGCTGCTTTTCGTAACTTGCTAGACTTCTTTGGAAACGATATTATGGACCATGCGATTGTAGTTTTTACTGGCGGTGATGAGCTTGAAGAAAATGATGAAACTTTGGAGATTTATTTGGGACGAGATTGTCCACAACCTTTAAAGGTTAGTTTTTTACCCTGGCTATGACTGCCCAAAAATGAAAATGAATAGTGATTACGCAATTTACCTTATATAGTTGTAGACTTCATTTTATTTTACAGTCCATAGAGTTGTAAACGCTAATTAGCTGCATTTTATGTTTTCCAGATTTTTTTAACAGTAATTTTATGTTTTAAAGATACTTGATAGGCTTATTTATTTTATGATAGTAAATAACATGTGATATATAAGATAAATGAAATTTAACCATCAACATTAATATGATAACCTTGGGGGTTGTGATAAACCTTACAATAATGTACTCTTTTATTGTTGTAAGCTTTTTACATACTTCTCTATTCCAATTTTCTTACATGAATTAAAATCTAGTTTAATAGCTCTTTGCAATTCTTGTTTTAGTTTATAGTTATCCTTATTATCCAAGTGAACATGAATTTCTTATTTTTTAACGTTTATCTAGGCAATGCTCGAGCTTTGTAAAAATCGATGTGTGCTTTTCAATAACAAGACAACAGATAAAGCCAAGAAAACTGAGCAACTTCAACAGCTCCTTTCTCTTGTTAACACTGTTTTGTCAGAAAATGGTGGACGTCCGTATAGTACCGACCGGTTATATAAAAAGGGGCTGGTAGGTTTATTCCTTATTTTTGTCAATTTTGTTGCATGAATAATATGGATAACATCGACAATGTCAAAGCAAAGTTGAGATTCTCTATTGCATTTGTGTGCATGCGTGGTCTCATTTATAAATAGTAGAATAAAAATAAAAGAATTAAAAAAAATTAAAGACATAAACGTTACAAAATGGATTCTTACGTATTGGAGGGAGTTTTGTTTTAGTTTATGAACTATTTATATGCTGTTGGCCAACATAAAACTAATTATATGCTATAAGCTTGTTTGAAAATATATTGTATGTTTTGTTATTCACATAGGCGGAGTCAATGCTCAAAGAGATTACTGGGAAACATGAACAAGAGTTGGCAATGGAAAAAGAGGCACGACAACACGCCGAACAAAGAGCACAATCATTGGCAACTGTTGAAATTCCTAAGCTGACAACCGAACTGGAAAAAGTAAAAAGCAAGAATAAGGAGTTGAACGACGAATTAGCTGCGCTGCGCAAGCCTGCTGGTGGCAGCAGTGGCAGCAGTGGCAAAAGTGGCAGCAGTGGCAGCAGTGGCAAAAGTGGCAGCAGTGGCAGCAGTGGCAAAAGTGGCAGTTGTACAATTCAATGACATGATTGCCGGCGTGGCAGTTGGTTCTAGGGAATGAAGTTTATCCATGTATAGTTCTATTTATATAATCCTCTTCCTCTCTCCTAAGCCGAATAAATTGTTGGATTATTATGATTAAAACTCGTGTAGATGCTTATGGTGCTGATCATATGGTATTGAAACTTCTTTATGGATATATATTTTTTATTAGAACGTAAATTGTAAATGATTTGCTTTTGACTTGGTGGTAGAAGGCCTAGAGTTAGAAGTGGTAATTTCAAAGAAATCTTTTACAAGAAGGAACAAGCAAAAATGTGTTGTTAAGATACTTGAGAATCCTCCTTGGGAGGTAATCTTTGTATTTCCATTCATGCGCTTTCCACTCAGGCAATTGTTGAATCACAACCTGCATCACATACAATAACCCATAATTTCATCCATCCTATTGCAATAAAATATTTCAATAAATCAACTAACGTTGAAAATTTAAAATGATGGAGGTAGGTAAGATTAATACAAACCATCCGTCTGGAATCTAGTCTTCCCATTGTTTGGTGTGAAAATCGTGAACGTGGGTTCAACCCAAAGTTTGGATTTAATCTAAAATCAATTGATAATAAATAGAGTGGTCTTTCACTACAAGCAAAATGTCATTTATCAATGACCATACAGATGGATTGAAATCTGTCTGTATAAATCATGTATACTAATAGAAAATATAAGTAGTTAGTATACATTTACCTATACCAATGAAAAAATATATTTGTTAGTATAAATTGGGTCCATACCAACAAAAAAATATATCCATTAATATATACTATATTTATACAAATGGTTCATTAATTATCCATTAGAATAAACTGAGTCTATACAGACGGATTACTGTACTAAATCAATATAATTCATTTAAATCTAAATGCCTCATTTTTTCCTTTTCAATTTCTACCGTCAGTATACATTTTGCACTTCCCTCCCCATATTCCTAATTTCCCCTCCCTAAATTCCGAGTTTCCCTCCCCAGCTAAACCTAAATTTTTCCCTCTCCCAAATCTGGTTCGACTCCACCCCTCACCAAAATTCATTTCCCTTTTCTCTCGTCTCTCCTATCCTTTCCCGGTCACTGTCTAATCGAAGGGGCCAGCCGACGTTCTCTTTGTGGAACAGATTTGTTCCCAAACAGCATGTCAGTGCCCTTCCTCAATGAGATGTTCGTTCTCTCCAAAGGCGGCATCGAGTTCGAGATAGACAAAGTCCCCGGGTCTTTTATCTCTCTCTCCTCTTTCTTTTTGCGATTCTAATTTTTCCGCGATCCCAAATCATTTTTGGTTACTGCAATTTTAGGGATTTCTTTTGTTTCTTGAAATTTAAGAATTTGTTTTCTCGAATTCGATTGGTGGTGGAAGGGATTTTCTATCATCTTCAACCATCAAATGTAGTTAATGAATTGAGAAGATGGATTTATCATGACTGTAGTTAGGGTTAGGGATTTAGGATCATCAGAATTCCTCTTATTGGTAAATTTTTTTAAATTTTATTTGTAATTTCTTTAGGGGCATTCCATTTTGATCAAGTCATTTTTTTTTTTAATTCAATAGTTAGAGTAATGCTATCTCCTTAGTGTGTTAATTATATTTAGGATTAATTCCACATACCTCAGTGTTGAATATAATTTGTGTTTGAGTTTAATTATCTAATGTATGGTAATCTTTGTTAAAAAAAAAAAAATTGCTTGGTTAATCTGTGCTACTGCCGCATTTTCATCTTGTACTGCAAAATCTATTATTATAGAAGATCTAAGTGGACGCTCTCTATGTAGTAGTTCTAATAAATTTAATTGGTAGATGGAAATCATTATACTTCTTTTTCTATGTGAAACTTGATCTTTATCATCCTGTCTGCATCTAATAATGAATATCCTTCATTTTGGTTTTGTAAAGGACTGAGATAGACAAGAGTTTTGAAATATGTATGATGTATTAGTTAATAAAGTTTCTTCACAAATTTACTTCAGCAGATGGGATATGGCAGAAGTTGATTGCTGAGGATGCCTCACTGCAGCTAATGGTAACAGCAGCAATACTATGGCTGGTTTTTTAATTGGTATGCCAAAGCCACCAAAGAATATTTTATGCAATTGTCTTACATGTTAAACAAAACAAGGGACTTGAAGATATCGAAACAAACCTTGATGAAGGCATGAAATCTATATCAGATCTACTTGGAAATGATATGAATCTAGATAAGTTAAGTAGCTTTTCTTGTTGGTCTCAACCTTACCAAAACAAACGATAGCATCTCTGTTCAAAGTACAGAATGAGCTTCAGAACTCCCTCACAAAAGAAATACAGGTATGTATTCAATTGACATGGAATCCCAGAATATGCAACAGTCCAATTTAAATGCCATGTTTAATTTTTCTGGCTATCATAGTAAGCAGTAAAGTATACTAAAAGCTCATCCTTCTTTCTTCCACAATTAAATGGGACCTGTTTATATCTTTTTGTTAACTTGGCTGTACTTTTTGTTTTAGATTACCACATGTTTGTCAGCTTGCAAAAAGAGCCTTTGTCTTCATGATTTAGTTACCTTGCAAGCAATTGTTGGTAGCCTAAAGACTCTCAAGCAAAATAGTCTAGTGGCTGCCGCTATTCCACCTAAGGTGCTCTATTATTCTCTTAAAATAACTTTTTGCTTTTGTAGACTTTTCAAGCCCTCAGATATTATGAAAACAGGTTATCATTAAACTCCTCATCCTATATGTGCAGTATACTGGCTCTCGTGATACTCTTGAGAGAAAGCCACAACCCCTTAAGAAGTATGTATACATTCCAGAATTGTGCTTTTCTTGTCACTATTACACTTATTTAGAATGGTTATCTGCTATGTCACAGCCCTCGATTGAACACAATTAAATGAGTTTAAGCCTTGAATAAGATAAAATGCCTAGGTCCATTACTGGTACTTTAGTTCATAGTTTTTCTTATGAAAAATCTGACTGATCTATCTTGATTCCAACCCAGCCATGCCTTCTAAGGCTTGTGTTCAATCAACTTGACCTTTGAACATGTAATTGGGAGATTGGAACTCAATAAACATGGAACAATCTATGTTTATTGGAAGGTCAGCAATTATGAAGAACAAAGGGAAAGGAATTTCTTTTTCTTGTGCTCGGCTGGTAATTCTTGAGTCTCCTATTTTTCCTGCCCCCTTGCCCCAAAACATAAAGTTATATAATAGAATTAGACATCTGGCACTGTTGCTGCATGCTTTCTGATTGAGAAATACTGGCACATTTGAACATTCCAAGGTGATTATTGGCATGATATTAGGAGTTGGGCTACCTGAAATTCTTTAAACCTACATGACTCAATTTATTTTTATACTTATCTACTGCATGAAATTATGAAATGTTCTATATTCATTCATTTTTGATTTTTTGGAATTAGTTGGGTTAGAATGTTGAGTTTCTCACCTTTTATTTCAATTAAAATTAAGAGGACCAACTCCATATCTTTTCCTTAGGGGCTTAGGGCACTTTCTTCCTCTTTCCTTGTATAGTGATTTGCTTATGCTTGCAAATTATGTTAGTTTTGATATATGAATTTCATTTCATTTTTCTTACATCATATCGAAACTTGAATGGATATCTTATCTCTCCTTCAATCCCATTACCTCAAATGAAAAGTGATTATTGTGACCTTTCAAGTGTATTTGGGGTAAAAGATGAGTACTTTGGATGTAACTAGAGCTAAACTTGCTCTTATTGCTTTGTATCTGAATACAGCTAAAGCAAGAGATAAGATATGCAGGGCTATACAGTATGGTTCAAAATTCATTAGTGAAGGGAGCCTGGCACAGCCCAAAATGTTGACAATTCAACTAGCTTGGCAAGGAAAGTTTTCTGACTTTTTAAGTTTTGGCTACATCCTATAATGCAAAATAAGAAATTAGAATTGTTTTTATTCAATCTCCTAATAATGGTATTATCATGAGTTTAGATTGTTAAATTGGAAAATTTTGAGTCAGTTTATACATCTTATGAGAAAATGTTTTTCTTTTAGATTTAATCTATACTCTTACAAATCTTGAATCTTGCTTGATTTATGCTTTACATTGTTAATTTGCAGTTTGTCAAGGATTTGCATGCTCTTATTAGCCTAGTTCCTCAAGGAACTCCCTATCCACTTGTTCTGTTGGGGAAGGTATGATTGTATTATAGAGAAATGTTTTCCTATAGTTCTCTTTTGGATTTTTAATTGACTCTATTTTTGTGATGAATTCATTAATTCTTCTTTCAGTCAAAGAATGCACTATTACCAACTTTCTTATTTCTCAATCAAATTGTTTGGCTTGGTGGAACAAGTATCTATAAGGTATGAAGTTTACTTTATCAATATTTGATTTTATATAACTTGTGGTTGGATTCTATAAGAAATGTTAACTGGAAAAAAAAAAACTATTATTTTTCATAGAACAAGGAACCTGCTGAGCTGCTTGGGTGGATATCCTTTTTCTGATGGATGGGTTCTTCAATTTACAACAGCTTGGTTGAGGTTTGTTGATCATTATTAGTTATATAAAGTTCTCTCCAGCAATAATTGTTTTGCCATTAAATTCTTCACAAGCTTTAGATTTTTATATGATATATTCTTCTTAAATTAGCTTGGGGAACCTAGGAGGCTTTCAATATCAATGAAAAAGTTGGAGAAGGAGCTAAAGAATGGTGATAAGTGCCAAGTATGCTTAACACAGTTACTATTCTGTGTGCTCACAGCTGGGATTATCCTATTTGAATTTCCATATTATATTGTGATGGATAAAAAGGGCAATGAAAGAATGGTATTGTTTGATGGGAAATTTATTTTATAGAGGTTTTTGTATATTGTAAAATGAGTTAGAGTATTATTTGATCTCAATATATAAATAAAATGTGTTTGGTTTTTATCAATACAGCCAAAGAATAAGTGTTGGAGAAAATCATAAAATAAAAGTGAATTACCAATTGTTAAAAAAAAAAAAAGGATCTATACCAACGAAATTATCCATTTGTAAAGATAAAGGTCTATACCCACGGCAAAGTCTTTTAAAATTTTTCAAGATCTATACCAACAGAATTATCTATCTGTAAAGGTCAAGGTCTATACTCACGGCAAAATCTCTTAAAATTTCTTAGGGTCTATATCAACAGATAAGTCTTTCATTGGAATAGATCCCAGGGTCTATACATACGGATTGGTCATCGGTAGATACCCTATACTGATGAGGTTTGCACCCACTAAAAGCTTTTCCATCAGAATAGTCCTTGGGGGGGTCTATACCAATGAAAAATGGGTGTATACAAGACGGAAAACTTCTGTCCCTATAGATACATCCGCTTGTAGTGTTCTTTGTATTTAACCCACAGACTTCTTATTTTTATACTTAATATGAGATTTTTCCACTTAAGACACCCCCTCACGTGCAAGCCCGCTAGGAGACAAAATCTAGGCTTTGATACCATGTGAAAATCATGAATGTGGGTTCAACACAAGGCTTGCATTCAACTTAAAACCAATTGGTAGTAGGTGGAGTGGTTTTCCTTGTATTTAATTCACAAGCTTCTTATTTTTATATTTGATGTGGGATTTTACCACTTAACATTTGGTAGGCAAGTCTCCAATTTTTTGGTTTCAGCAAATAACCCAAAAGCCTTCAATGTAATTATATTCTAATGCACTAACACAACTTAGCATTTGTAATGAATGATACATCCTAAGAAACAGCCTATTTTATTATAACCAAAACTTAATATAACCAAGTCATACTCTAACATGTTAAGTCTTTGGGCCCATCAGGACCAGCTATTGGGTCATTCTTTTATTACCTCTGTCTCTTAGAGCATCACACCTTATATAGCTACTACTCCCACCGCCCAACATGCTTGGGAAGCTTTTGAGAAACTCTAAGCCAACTGCTCTCGTACTAAAGTCATCACCCTCAATGAATGGCTGCGAAATCTATGTCGAGATGGACATCCTGTCTCCGAATACCTCTGCTACATCAAAGCTATTGCTGATGAACTAGGAACAGTTGATCGCCCTTTCACAGATAATGATCTCACTATCTACATCTTGAATGGATTGGGTCCAGAGTTTCGTGAAGTCATGACCTCCCTTCAAACTCATGATTCCTCCTTGTCTTTTGATGATCTCCATGATCAATTGGTGGCTCATGAGGAGAGCTTGAAACGAGATGAACCTAAGCTTGACTCCACTATAGTGAGTGCCATGTTTGCTACTTTTCTTAACTCACAAATTGTTTTAGGCTCCTCTTCCTCCTCTCCATCTGTCGACCAGCTTCCCATGCCATTAGGTGGTCAACTTCCTTAAAGCAACAGGAGCCCTCATAGTGGCCCAATTTTAGCTCGACTCAATAAGAGATGTAGTCCTCTTCCTCGATTCCCTAATAGGTCCTTACCCATCATACGCCAACTTTGTGTCAACCCTCGTCATTCTGCTTGCAATTGTTCTCTCTTTCGGACATCACAACAAGGTCCTCTTGCTAGCATGGCTACCTCCTCTGTTGGGTCCTTTGATACTTGGCTCTTAGATTCCGAAGCACCTCACCATGTCACCACTGACCTAGCCAACCTTGCCTTATACTCTGAATATCATAGAGTAGATGAACTTCAAATAGGTGATGCAATAGGTTTGCAAATTACACATGTAGGACACTCTACACTTTCTACTTCCTTTACCTCTATTCCCTTACACAATATTTTATGTGTTCCCCATGCTTCCCACAATTTATTGTCTATTTCCCAATTATGTGAAAATGCTAATGCCTATGTTAAATTTCACCCTTCTTATTTTTTATTGAAGGAATGTTCATGGGACTTACCAAGTACCTAGAAGAATTAAAACTAGGCCTACTACCTTAGTGGGAGAGAGTTTCGTTGGCGAATTGGTAGTCGTTTAGGTCATCCATTGGTAAAGACCCTAAAATATATTATTAATGTTTATCAATTACTTATTTTTAATAAAAAAAATACTCTCTCTATGTGATTCGTGTGCATGCTTTAAAAGTCACAAATTATCTTTTCCATTTCTTCCATTACCTGCCAATTTCCACTAGAACATATTTATTTTGATGTTTGGGGCCTTACTCCTATTACTTCCATTAATGGTTATTCCTACTTTCTACTATTTGTGGAACTTTACAATAGATATACTTGGATTTTTCCAATTAAACGCAAACTTGATATTGCCTTAATTTTTCCTCAATTTAAACAACTTGTGGAAACCCAATTTGGTCTCAAAATAAAAAATTTCCATTTTGATAGCAAGGGATAATTTATTGCATTGTGAGACTTTCTATCACAACAAGGTCTATCTACTTTCACAAATCCTCCGTATACACCCAAATTAAATGGCATAGGTCAGAGGCACAATTGCCACATAGTTGAAATAGGTTTATCTCTACTTTGGTCGCCATTCCTCCCTCTCAAATACTAGTCTTATGCTTTCGAAGCAACAATCTACCTAATTAATAGGTTACACACTACTGTTCTTTAGTATGTTTCCCCTTTTGAAAAATTGTTTTATCACAAACCTAATTATCTCAAATTAAGAGGTTGTCCTTATTTCCCATGGCTCTACCTTTATACTCAAAATAAATTACAACCCAGGTCTCATTCCTGTCGATTTCTAGGCTACTTTATTGAAAATTTGGGGTATAAATGCATTGATTTACAGTCTAGCAAACTTTTTCACTTTCATCATGTTATATTTCATGAATCTTATTTTCCCTTTAAAAATTCTTCTAATTCTAGTGCCTATAATGATTTTTGTCCACTTCCTGGCATGTCCCCATCTTCCACTCAACCAAATCTTAGTCACATGCCAATCTCGCCATGCCACTTTGCAAAAGTTGCGTCCCATGCTGTCATTCACAAGGCCATGTTGCCGTTGGAACTTGCTCGTGCATCCTTGATACTTCTAGTCGACTTGTCCTCAACAACACCATCACCTAGCCCAACTTCCCTCTCTCCACACACATCGCTAGGCCCATCCTCCTCTTTGCCCTTAGCCTAGTCTCCTAGCCTGCCTTCCTCGTCTCCCTCCTCCTCTTTGGCCCACTTCGGCTCATCTAGCCCATCCACCTCATCCAATTCTCCAAGACCTCCCTTGGCCCCACCCCAACCTCTTAGAACACACTCTATAGTTAGTCAGGCCTGGAACAACATTTTCAAACCCAAGCAACTCTTCCATACCGTTCCTACCCCTGTTACTGCCTCCCTAGAGCCCACATGTGTGTCCCAATCCTTGAAAGCACCTATTTGGAGACAAGCCATGTCTGAAGAGTTTACTGCATTGGTCCAGCAAGGTACTTGGGAATTGGTGCCCCTAAATCCTAGTCAATATCTTATTGGTTGTAAGTGGGTTTTTTCATGTGAAACAAAGCAAAGATGGCAGTATTGAGTGCTATAATGTGCATCTTGTGGCTAAAGGTTTTCATCAATGACCTGATTTTGATTACTTTAACACTTTCAGTCCTGTTATTAAACCAACAACTATTCAAACTGTTTTATCACTTGCCGTTAGTCATGGCTAGCCCATTCAACAGTTGGATGTTAATAATGCCTTTCTTCATGGAAAATTGGAAGAAGATCTTTACATGCAACAACCGCCTAGTTTTGTTGACATTAATAAACCCAATTTTGTTTGTAGGCTTAAAAAATCTCTTGATGGGTTAAAGCAAGTTCCACGGGCTTGGTTTTGGGAATTAAAATCTTCTATTTTATCTCAAGGCTTTTACAATTCTAAATCTGATAGTTCGTTATTTGTGTATCACAAGGACTCTACTTGGCTTTATTTCCCTTGTCTACGTTGATGATATTCTCATCACAGGGAATGACTCGAGTCTAATTTGTTCTCTAGTGCAAGTGAAAAAAATGAGGTAGTGCTTCTCTCTCAAAGATCTCAGACCTTTCACCTTTTTTTTGGGCATTGAGGCTATTCATACATCTGCTTGGTTATTGCTTTCTCAACACAAGTACATCCATGATATCCTTCGTCGAGCTAACATGGATGCTGCAAAGTGAGTTTCCATGTCGCTTACTTAATTGGCCCATCTAAGTTCTTCAGCAGGTTTAGCTCTCTCTGATGGCTCTGACTATCGCCATATCTTAGGTTCTCTTCAATATCTCACTCTCACTTGTCAGGCAGTTGCTCGCGATTCCACTAAAGTGGAATAGCACGCTCTAGCTTCCACTGCCTCTGAGTTAATTTGGGTTCGGAATCTCTTATCTAAGTTAGGCATCTCTGTTCCTCGCTCTCATACCATCTTCTGCAACAATATTAGTGCCACCTATTTGAGTGTCCAATTCTTCATCCCCGCATGAAGCATATTTCCATTGATCTTCACTTTGTTCGAGAACTCGTAGATTGCGGTTATCTGCATGCCTCTCACATTGCTACCCATGATTAGCTTGCAAATGGTCTCACAAGCCCCTTTCTTCTGCTCAGTTTTGTTTGTTACAGTCCAAGCTTGACATCGTTGACTGCTCTTCTGTCTTGCGGGGGCGATATCAGATCAATCACTCCACCTCGCAGAAGGAAGCCAAATCTCCGACCATCTCACATAAGGAAATCAAATCTCAGTCTTAATGTAAATAATATATATTATATGTATCTTGTACTTAATTGAAGTTTCCTTATTTTCTAGGTTAGATGACTGCGTGTACTCTATATATTGCTCTGTATTTGCTTAATAAAATCATTAAGCTTAAGTTTTCAATACGTCCCTGTCAATTGAGTTAAGCTTCAATTGACATCTTAAATTATGGATGTATTAAATGAATTGCTCTAGTTCCTAATTGAGGAATTACTAATCTAGCTTATCTTGATACTGCATTGAGAATATAACGTGCCAAAAAATCAACTGGGGTATAAAAAACGATAGTCATATCAACAATGACAGAGCAAGCTTTCTGAGATAGAATACCTCCACCATGCAAGTCCCACAAGTTCCTCCTGCACAGTTTAACAAAGGTCTAGCCTGCATATCAGAGGATATTAACATAGAACCGACCAGCACAAATTAAAGCATCTAATAATCATTCATTGGAGTCACGAAACTTACATGTGGCCCACACAATTCAATGTTAGAATCCAGCATTATATCCCACCACATGTTCGACGAAATTGCACATCCGGGCTTCCATCAGGGAGCAAGACATACTAAAGCCACAAATTAACTCAATTTCCAGAAATTTGAACAGGTTATCAATACAATGACACATATTAAAGAGCTGCAAAGTCGAAATCGTTCTTTCATGAACTTCATGATCAAATGCAAGATTGACTGCAGGTGGTTCCTCTTCGAGCTCCCCATTCGGATTTCGTATCTGCGGCTGTGCTAACTGCTCTGATTCTTCCTCTCCGGAAGCCAAGGTGGTTAGAAGCTTTGAGGGTTCGGGGAGTGCTGGCCGTGTAATTGATTCTGTAAGGGACAGAGATTGCAGTAAAGTGGTGGCTGCCCATTTCAGATGATATTGGATAGTTTGCAGTAGTAGTGGATATTTGCATGGGATTTGTAGCGATGTATGGTCTGGTGCGTTTTATTTATTTATCTTATATCGTTTTTGAATGTGGGGCTAAGGTTGATGATGGGCTCAATTCAAACTCCAGTCTTGCCCATTTCAACCAAGCTTAAGGGTTATGGCCTCAAATCAGATCATGTTTATGCCCATTTTATCAACAAATTTTAGGGCCGAGACCAAGAAAGCTCAAGGGGAGTGCGGTAATGTTATATTTCCAATAGGATTTCTGAAGATATTAAATTTTATTAAGTGTTTGTCTACCCTATATCTTTATAATATAGTTTAAGAATTTAATAAATATATTTTTTATAATTAATTTATATTAAAAATTACAAAAATTAATATATATTTTAATATCACTAACACGTAAATAATTTTAATTGATTAATTGATTAGATCAAAATTAATATTTATATTTTTAATAAAAATTAATTATGAAAATGTGTATTTATTGTATCTTTATTGGGCATAGGATAGAAATTTTCTTTTATTAATTGTAGTATTTATAATTAATTC